TTATTAATTGAAGTTGGAAGTAAGTTAAGGTGGAAATACAAATAATATCTAAACAGGTTTGTAGTTGTGATTTTAGAGCAAAGTTTGGTTGTAAGCTCTTTATCACTCTGATCTTTAAGTGAAATTCTACAAGATGTGCTTCAAGAATGATTTCTGATCACAGTTTATAATTTTTCATCGTACTCTCAGAGCATTAGTTACTTTAATGGAAATAACATATTACACCATCTGTTTGTCATTCATTCTAAATTCCATAATTTGAAATACAATTTTCATGACAGACCATCAACGTAAATGTTGTTATTCATTTTTTAACTACAAAATAAGATAAATATTGGAAAAAAATACGTTGTTGTTCATCTCAATCTGTTCTTGTGGTCCTTACAGGTTCAGTAAAAACTGCTTCTGAAATTTCGTGCTTTTAAAGTTATCCTTAGAATTTAGCATAGACTATTCAATTTCCCAGTCTTGGCTATGCATCTGTTGACTTGACTAAAATTATCAGTTTTACTGGCTTGGAGTAGATTAGGTAAGTAATTAGTAGCCAAAGTGCTGTGGAACTAATGGACAACCATTTCGCTTTTCATAAATAACACAGCCAGTTCAGCGATAATACAAAGAAATTGCGTGTAAAATAACACCATAGGAGGCAAGTTATTAATCTATTTTGTACTGTGATTAAAAGACTGGCTTTCATAGGCCTGCTGTGCGTGCAAGATTATACCATGATAAAGTGAAAAACCAAAGTTACTACTGACGAGATGCCAAGAGTTATAATTTAAAATCCAGTGTGGAGATAAGTTACACATTCATGACAATGAAAACATGGTACCTGATTTTTTATATAAATTAAACATATGTACAAATATGACAATATCTAGTTACCTTTGTTAAAGACTTAAAACTAATCTAAATTTAAAGCCGTTAAAATGTGTGAACCCAGTTATTGTGTAACAACTATTACTGTAAACTTATCTCCGATGTATTATTGGCTAGTTTTTTATACGTGTAAGTAAAAAAGTAAAATTCTGGTTGAAAGATAATGCAATTATCGTTACACCATTTATAGCGAGTTTCGTTTTTTTTTATTGCAGTTTAAAACTTTGATTGCTTTTAAGAAATTTCACAATCCCTTTTTTGTCTTCTTTGCTAAATATATTTTGATACTGGTTATTTGTTCGTACGATCTTATAATTATTCTAAGGAATTTAAACTGTTTTTAGCTTATTGACTATTATAGAACTTTAATATACAACAACACTTGCCAAAAATACTATAAAATGACCACAGCCTTTCACTAATAGTATTCAACTTGTAGTTTCAGGCATTCCAATCTATTAGGGAACAAAAAAATATTCTTTGGTGACGGCTAAAATTGTACAATAACCAGTATATAAATCTACTTGAAATCCAATCTTAGTTTAAAAATAACCAAGCAATGTCATTAGTGACGGCACCTTCGTACAAACCGACGATGGCATTTTCATCGCATTGCTGAAGACGATGTCAGATATCTGCTCCTATCTTGTACTACTGCTTCACACAACGATTTGTCCCAAATATTTTGTATGATCAAATTCTATTTGTATTGATACCTTATTAACTTTATAACAAATGTAAAATAGTGGAATACAATAGGTAATGTAAATAATGAAATGAGTAAATAGGTATTACATATGTACTGCATTGATAGCAGTAGGTTTGATTTTTAAATATTTAAATTCACTTTTAAACAAATAGTTGTTTTTCCTTCTGTCTTTCTCTCCAACACTTTATTAGATTTGCTAAAATTTACTGGAATCACCAGGGGCATATTGCCATCCCTATACATACCTAGGGCGCAAAAGTTTCGAGACGGTAAAATCTAGTAAAATATTTATTGGTCTCAATGGTTAGAAAGAAAAGGCAGTATGTTTACTTTGCTTAATTGACTACTACTTTGTGTCCCTCAATGCTTGACGTTTATTTTCAACTAAGATAAGTTTATGTTATTTGCACAAAATAATCCTAAAAAAAACCTTGTTAAAATTAAAACGTTATTCGGCCACACGGGCGATAAAATTGAACAAAACATATGTTCCTAAAACGACATTGTGAAATTGAGTTTTCTTAAATAAATTGTTGAGCTGTGAACAAACCCCGTTAGTAAGTACGAGAGATTATCGTTCTTAATTTTGACAATTTTGGTAGGGATAGCCCTAAATATTTAATTTTTCAAAAATCAGGCTGGAACGTGTCAATTTTCAATATTTAGTTCAACGCATGATATGATATAGGCAAAGGTTTAAGACCCCAGTTTAGTTGACTATCTGAAACCACTGTCGTGTAAGGTAAAATGAAAAATGCTGATGACAAGTATATACAGTGTATACAGGCCTAGAAGTGGTATAGCTGTCTAAGTCCTGCGGACTTCTGGTTGTATCCCAGACCACTCAATTAACCACTTCCTTTACCACTAGAGGAAATATTTTATCTCTTCATGGATGATTGCTTAATTTTTGTAGTTAAAATCAAATGTAACTAATCCAACTCCATACACTTTGGGGTTTTCAGTTGAGGTTCAATGTAGGCGGTAAATAGCTTGAATGTTATAAAAGCTAAACACTAATGTTTGAGGCTTAATTTGTAAAGAATCCAATTAAAAACAGTGATTGCAAAATCATAAATGATAAAATCAATGATTTCAGGAGTAAGAAAAGGAATTGGGATCTTTTACAATATATATTATACTGAAATATTTTACAATACAGTAATAAACTAAGAGATTATACGGACTATAATTTAATACTTCCGCCGTGATAATATAATTTAATAAAATAATTTGCATAGCACACTGCAGAGATAAAAATACTTAAGTGAAAAATACCAGGCCCTAATTTAAACAGCCCCTACACTTTATTAACCCCTGCATTAGAAAGAACTATTGAAGCATAGGATACCCTCAAATCCCTTAAAGCTTGAACGTGCAAGTAAATGTCTAAAATCAAAAGATGCCTCAACATGAAAGAAAAGGAATTAATTGACGGTTAAACCTTGTTTTTTTGAACTGGTAAATATATTTTCCCGGTTAAGTCTGACGGCCACTCATAGTGGACTATGTTTCGACATTAAGTTGGCTAAATTGATTTAGTTCTAATATGAATTAAGCTGCGCGTGTAATACTAAGGGTATAGTTGTAGAAGAATGCAGTTTTGGTGGGTAGTATAAACGCGACGAAGCCTTTCAGATACCTTTAAGACATCAGTGTCGCTTGACTCATGCTACCCTAACCATCTCTTCCCCCTCCCTTAACGTCCTCCTACCTGCAAAGCAATTCTGTTCTGATTCAGAGGGAAAATTAACTGTGTCTTGGAGTGAATGAATCATTTGCTATACATAGGACATCAAGCATTCGTTATGTATGTGTTTGTAATACCAAAAGTATGTAAAGTTTTCTTATAACGGTTTTAAAATTCTTAAAAGCATGCTACGAACGATAATATGCACTTCAACGATATTAACAATTGATATGATTGATTAAAATTACATCTAGACAGCTTCCAAACTATTGAACATTATTAAAGTTGTCTCAGTTATAATAAACAACACTTCATTACTGAATTGTTTCATACAGTCAAACTCAACCTGTCTTCAGACACCAATGAAAATTATTATGGGAAATCGAACTGTTTGTTTAAGGGCCTAAGTTTAATATTTATAAAGTATGATATCTATAAGTTAATTTAGTATAAAGTCATTTATTTATTTTTAAATCTAAAATTTTGCCTTTGTTTGGAGTTTGAATACCCCTAGAGAAACGTGCTATCATGGGCTCAGTAAATAATAACTATGATAGTTACCCGAACAAAACAAAACAATTGAATTTAATCCGATGTTTTTATTATTTAGTCAATAAAATAACTGAAATAAAAAAAATATTTTAACAGTGAATTGCAGTACTAAAGTGTCAAAGAAACTTTAGTACCCAACTGAGATTGTCTTAAACGAGTTGTATTAGTAGTCAAATTAATGTACTTTATATCAAGCTCATATATCTCTTCGTTGAAATAGTTTAATGTATTTTCTTTTTTTCTTTCTTTTTGTAGATTCTTTTGAATCTATTGAACCACTCTTGTTCCATTTTAATCTTTCTTTGGTTCTACAATTATGTTAATTCTGTAAACACTTATCGGTTTGCAAAGTAATCATGTACCATATGATACAATGGTCAAGCCACACGTTATTCCAACAACCTATTGCGCGACAGTTAAATTATTTTTTTCTTAACTTACACTAAAACTATTGCAATTCTTTCACGATACGGTTCTTGTCAAAATACTCGGAACATAACAAAGATGCGGCAATATCATTTTAATCTCCAAAAACCTTCTCACTGACTTACTGACTTGGTTACCAAAGTTGACTTTAGTAAGTTTTCTTAGCACTTAATAGTGTAAGCTGTAAACAATCAAATAGTTGCTTCGATAGTAATGACGCTTTTGTTGATGTATATAATATTGCTGATTACGGTCATTACGGTGATTTTAATGACAATGAGGGTGAGGATTGTGATATATTGATATGTGGGGGCCGCTTGAGTAACTTAATTTGGCCTAGGGCCCCAGATAGGTACCCTAAATCCGGCACAGATTAAGTTAATTGATAAGCTTGTTAAATTGATTTTTCTTCATAGGCATATGATCAGTTTATTTGGCAAAGAGTGAGTTAGGGGGAGTGTTGTTTTGATGATGATGATTAAGGTAGTAGTAAACAAAAAGAATATTATGGTGGCGATTGGGATGGTAACAATGTCGATAAAGATGATAATGTTTTTTGTGTGTTTATACGGCGATAGTTATGCTTAAGATTAAGATTATGATTATTATTAAGATGACCGTGGAGTTTATATAGAGAAGTGGTGGTAGCGTGGTAGTGGTTGGGGATCAGAATAATAGTTTTGGTGATAGTACAGTAGTTGATGGTGATTATGATAGTAATATTAACAAAAATAAATTACTAACCTGTTACACTTAGAAGCGACATGATCTTGTCCGCTGTAGGTTCGAAGTATAAAATAAATTCACAGTATACAAGTAGCACAAATATCACAGACTATTAAATCAACTGTAACAAAAACAAAATACATTTAACTACGAGCCGTTGATAAGAGGAACAAATGGAACTTTAATACAAATAAATACCGTCCCCCAAAGTTATGATCCCTCAGATTTCTACTTAAGGGAATGTAAAAAATATTTTCCTTATACTTAGTGCATTATTATTTTCTACCACGTTCCAAAAATGTAGTTCTTAAGTTATTTTGTAGCTGAATATTTAATTTATACTCCATACATATTTCTAAAAAAAATCACCATTCATTGAGGCTTGATCGTTAATCATAAGCTTTCTTATTAGTAAAACGAGTGGCACAACAACCACTAAAGATTCATACTCCAACTGTGAGATACTGTGCATTCCCTTTATACAAATAATAAATATGTAAAATGTTTTTACGATTAATTTTAAAAACTCAATACACCAACTATCTTGCTAGTTTGAAAGCAGATTATATGCAATTTTAAACAAATATTTCCAATGTAATAAGCGCCAACAATTTAATATAAAATCGTATTTTTATATAACATAAAAAATTTTTAAATTATAGGTTTATAAATAAAATGTATATATGCTAATTTAATTTTCAGAAAATTTGTATTCTAACGACAACAATGAAAGATAAAGACCGAGTCGAGCTGAGGTCAACTTTCGCATGTAACAGTCAAAGTATGTTATTAAAATGGAACTTTGCATTTAGGTTTTGTCACAGAAATTATGCATGGGAGTGGATAAGCGACATGCAATCAGTGTTTGCCCAATATCGACCTAGCCAGGGCAGAGTGAACGAAGAGGTTAGGTGCTACAGCTGGGCTGAGACTACATTGTACACCTAGTACAGTATAATACCGCCTACTACGAGTACGACAAACTACACTGACAAACGAGTGCTATTCGAACATTAAACCGTTAAATTAATCTAATTTGGATTGAGGGGATAAGTAAAAAAATAATTGAGTTTTTCAATGTTACAGCATTTATTATGAATGATTTGAAAGATTTGTGTATAAATGTTGCAATTGCAGTGTTGTTGAAATATACTTGGAAAATGTCTAATATATATAATCTAATTTTACAACAGTTAACTGGATTCAAAAAAAATTGAGATTATGTTAATTTTGTATGATAAATGGTATACTAAGTTCAAGTAAAAAGGATGATTAAATAAGGAATGAAAAACGACATAATAAATAGATTATTATACTTTACACATGTTTTATATAACTCTTATGACTATATGATTGCAGGAATCTGCTTATTTTGTAAAACTGAATGTGGTGTATTCATGACGAATGCAAGTTTTTCTAGTTGTATGGAATTGACGTTGTTGCAAAAAACATTATAGTTGAGTATATCATTATTATAAATTCAATATACAGTATCCCAAGTCTATAAATGAACTAAGGGCAACAACCCAACCTAACCTAAAAATCCCAAAACATTCTCTCCACACTATCCTCTTACCAGTGACTCTTAGTTAAATGTAGCCCTTCGTAAACGATCGAATCATAATCAGAACTTTAGAAAATCTAACGAATTAACTACTCAACACTATCACTTTTGTAAATAAAACAAACGGAAATCGTCTATAAAAAAGACACTTCACTATGGCACAAGGAAAGGTTGGACCGCGCGCGTAGAATATATCACTAGATATGTACAAGCTAACACTCAAAAATCGGAAAGGAATGAACTAATGCGTGATTATAACACGGTAAGATCCAGCTGGGGACTGTCTCGCAACCGCACACATGTGGCCCGCCATTTTGTAACTGGGGGGCAAGGGGGGCTCTGACGTCACACCGTACCCAGACGAGGCGGCGTGAAAAATCATCGACCTTGATGCCCTATATACCCAGAAAACTCGTAGATTAGCCCCTGGGAGATTTTCATCAATAACAATATGTCAGGGTGGCTCATGGTTTTTGGTTTTAATTGCTTCTAAATTTTCAAGACGGTTATGTGTAGAGTTTACGGTGAAACGTGGAAACTCCGCGTAACCCCCTTACCACTCCCCATCCCCTACCAAATACCGGGAATCAATAGTCCCGGATGACGTGCAGAGGTTGCAGACGGCGAGTACACACAGTGATACCTGGTGGCGGGGGAATAAACTAGAGCGCTAGTGGCTGCGGGGGATTTGTTTACTATGTGTAAACCATTGATTACAAGAACGTGTATTCCTCGATGGTAAATTTATAGATAAAATTGTACGTCACTTTGGTATCACATAGAAAACAACTATGTCCAAAGCCACATAAAATAAAATCAATTTTCAAAAAACTTTGTTGAGATTTGTTAGGTTAATAAAATGTAAGGTATTATCTAATCCCCCATCTCTCGGTCTAATTAGAATTAGTCATTGGACTGCAATGTAACACAGTCTAGTAGCTGATTCGCTTCCTCAAGTTTCCTAGGATTGAGGGTTAGGATATGGATTGATAAAAGAGTTGAAACATGTACTTATATAATAAATTGAAAATCCCATCCTAACCTCTAATCCAAGAAAATCTGACATTTGGCAATCACAAATCACTGCAACATACAATAAAGTGCTAATGGAACATTTATTTTTATTATATATAATTTTGTCATGACACTTCGATAGTTTGATTCTTGAAATACATTTATTTGCTAAAATAGATAAGGAGAAAACAGTTTTTGTTTTTGGAAAGAAGTGGACTGTATATTTTCCTGAATAAATTTACATTGCATGAGGAGGTCAAGTTGACTGAAAAATAATGGAAATATCATACTAATATTATATCCTCGATAAAAATTAAAGAAATAATCAATTATATTTCATGTGGTTATCTTCTTGTAACCATTTAATAAGTATTTAATATAGGTAATAATATAATTGTGTTGATTAATTTGAATTTAACTTTTCTCCATGAATATTAATAATGGTGTAGGATATTGGCTGTCTTCTGAATCCATTTTTTTTCTTCATTCTTTATCTGATCTTTACAGTCACACATGTGTTCAAGTTGTTTTCAAAACTGTTCATTGTTGGTTTGTATATATTTTCTCATTTGGTTATAAAACTGCTTGTTAATCCAGCTACTTGCACTAACAGCTAATATTAATAATTAAATATTCTTTAAGTTATTAATTTTAATAAACTACTGTATATTCGATGTGCATTTTGCAGTTTACAATCACAAACATGGATAATACTTTGATGATATTGTGAATATATTTTTATTGGTACTCCCAAATACAAACACCGCATACATATATGCACTTTATAAAATAGCTAATTTATTTTATAGAAATTATTTTGTTTCAATTATTGAAATTGGTTCATTTGAATTTCAGTTTAAATTGGAATTTCTTTCCCTTCAAGGATAGTTAAAAGAATGTTTATAAATAGTAACATTACTAGTAAAATTACAATTATTATAAATTATTAGTAAAATTACAAAACATTAGGGGCATTTAGTTTAAACTGATGGGACATAGTCCCTAAACGTTCAAGGGTTTGTCCCACGAGGGAATTAATTTTAATGCTTTTAATAAACTCGTAGAATCAATAACAGAAGTTTAACTTAACAAAGTATTTGTTTTTAAGTGATTTTACTGAGAACTCTACTCTTGAGTCTTGCCTCTCAAATAAAAATGTGATCATAAAATCCTCAAATGATTGTCAGCAGTACTAAATAATGTAGTATAAACCCTACCCAGTTATGCAAAAAGTTTTCTTGTTTGAAAATGTGGTGTTAAGTAGGACGTTTCTTCTTCACGTTCAACTTTTAGAATGATTGGATATGCATTTTAAGGGGAGACTGAACCTTTTTTGTCTTAAAAAATTAAATTTTTGTTTTTCGTCTAAAATTAATCTCCGTTTCTTCCTGATTAAGAAAATATATAATACTTAGTATATTTAAAAGCTTCTTATGATAACAATAAATAAACAAAGCTAACTCTACCGAGGTTTCGGCCACACTATTCATATGGCTTTGAGTGTGTGCTGCAAAGCTTTTAAGTGTGTTTTCCGAAAGTTAGTTTTTTTATCTTTAGGTACACATAGTTCAAAATCTGTAATACATAGAGACTTAAAATTTTGCGTGCATTAGTCTGGGTACTTGGTGAGTACATTAAACCAATCATATATTGATTGGTTATAAATTTTCATTTAAAAAATAATTTATTTTTATTTTTAGAATATCGCATAAAAATTTGTATTTTTTAAATTATTGAAAATAACTTTTATATTGATATATTTCTTTAAAAAGTGGTTTAACATAAAGATATGGATGTGATAATTATGTGTGCAAAAAATCAGTATGATAGGTTTAGTAGTTTTCGTGCTATATGTACTTGAACTTGTAGAAAATATCCATTTAAAAAGCATTGAACCAGAAAAGGTACAGTCTCCCCTTAAATGGCTATTCTCTGTTACAAGCGTCTTGCTAGCATTAAATGCTTTGTGTTCATTGAGATGTAAAATAATGTTTTTGGTTATTTGATTATTTATATATTAAAATATTATAAAAATAGTGTTAGAAGATAGTATTCTCCCTTAAAACTACTGCTGAGGCAAAAATTGCTTGATTACTGGTTAACAGAAAAAGCTCCAGCGACTAACTTAAACTAATATGACACTTTAAAACATACGAAAAAAATCTTAAAACATCATACGATTATATTTTTTTTTAGTAATATACACAATCAATATAAGTAAGGGATTAGTTGAAGAAATAATGTTCAAAAGTAATTGCTTTGTTGTTACCTTCTAGTTCAAACTTGAGGAACGTATAAATTACAATACAGTATATAAGGCTTTATACATTATACTAATTTTAACAGACTTCCCTAGTCGGTAAAAAATGTCAACAATTTTCAATTAATGATGTGTTATGTGGATATTTAATTTTCTTTTAAAATGTATACTTACTATAATTAACGTAGCGTAAAAATGTATATATTTCGTTACTCTGTAACTTTTAATGAAAATAGGATCCTTATTTTAATAATGCGTTTTCCGTATATGAAAACATTAAATGAGTTTATACTGTACAATCATTATTACAGTACCAGTTTAGTGTAGAATGTTTACTAGGAATTTGATCCATCTGATCGTTATGCAGTTGTTCAAAACATTTGTTCTTAAGAAATAGGTTTAAATATTGGCAGTTTTAAATTTATAATAACACTAGCAGTGTACCGTCCTTCGTAGGGGGTTGGCATATATGTATAAAATGCTTATTGAAGTTATACTCGAGCTTTGCGCTTACAATGGGGGAAGACACAGTTCGATAAAATTTGCTTCTTTACATTTACGGTATACTATAGTATTACGCATCTACCATAGCCATAACGTTCTACCTAAACAATAGAGACAAATAAATAAATAAAATAACAATAAATAACAAAACAAATAACATAAGAAATAACAAAACAAATTATAAATAAATTAATTAGCTAAATATCACAAATAATTCATGAAGCTAAAAACATAGAAATAACTGGAAACAATCCAGTTATCATTGGATGACAGTTCTCAATGCGTATCACAGTTTTTTGTTGCTGCTTAGTACAAACGCTGAAGGATTAACAGTCAATGATTCAAATTAGCTGTTTTCATAAATATGCAAAAAATAATAACAGCGCTTCATCCTGTTGGTAAATCTTATAACTTTTTAATACTTTTGCATATCATAGAACAAATTTTTTTAGTTGAAATAGCTGACTAAATTCTTTAATTCCTTTTAAATATGAATACTCATAAGGTTAACATGGGGAACTACAGAGCCACTGGGGCGGAGCCCGAAAGGATTTTGCAGATAAGAATATGCTTATATGTTAATCGGGAATGTGATCTATCATCATGCCAAACTTCGGCCCAATATGGCCAGTAGTTAATGCGTGATTGAACTTCAAACAAAAAAAAACACACAACTGTCACATTTATAATATTAGTACGATCCCTGACTGCTAAAAGCGAAGTACCTCTCAGTATTAAAAGATTGAGTTTTATAAAAGCATCTTGTATATGAATTTTGTTACTGTAGCATTTTTAGGTTATCAAGTCACAAGAGGTTCAGCACAGAAAACTTTTCTACAGGTTTGAAGAACAAATCCACATTCGGCTAATAACTAACTCTGGCCTTCAGAAAATGAAATACAAAATACAAGCAAACAAACAAAATGTGTAATTCACATTTTTGAGTCGCCATTCTACACTCCGTACGAATCTTTGAACTCTACAACGCATTAATTCACATAGAATATAAGATGACTGAACCAAATAAAAGGGGTTTTGTTTGTTTCAAGAGTTCCATGAATTCCATGCAATATGGATCCAATGTGCATATTATTTGTGTGTATTTATCTGATTCCTGAAAACTATACGGCTGAACAAAGGACCCCCGAAATTGACAATAAACTTGCTGATAGCACACTCCGAGCAACCTCTGGAATGTTCTAAAATTAAAAACTAAGATTTCAGTACTTATATTCTAATGCATCGATATCTAAATCTAAGGAATAAATTTCATTGAGTAAATTAAAGTCATATCTTCGTTACTTCGTTATAAAATTAAAAAATACTGTATACACGCTTACGAAAGCCCGCATTAAAAACCCTACAATATTACGTTATGATTAAAGTCCAATGTATTCTGTGTTTAACAGTAAATTAAACAGCAAGTTTAATGATAAACGTTTAAGCAGTAAATCCTCTAAAAATCTTCTAAATCCTTCTCTACTGAAAATATTAATTAATTGG